CTGCAGGGGGGTGTTCTTATGGGGGGGGTGTTCCTGCAGGGGAGTGTGTTCTTACGGGAGGTGTGTTCTTACGGGGGGGGGTGTTGTGTTCCTGCAAGGGGTGTGTTCCTGTAGGGGGGTTACTCAGACTCCGGGTGGGAGGATGCGAACAGCCACCTCTGCTGAGCTGAGACAGGCTTGCACGGAGGAGGGTTCCCTCCCCTTCGTTTTCACCCACGAAGGTCAGAGAGTGGGAGACCGTGCCTTTGATGACGTAGGTGAAACAAGTGAATTTAGTCCATTGACCCCCTCATGTCTGAAAGGCAGTCTCAACTGCAGAAGTAAATGATAAAGTAATAGTTTATTAAGTGATAAAATAATTTATTAAGTAAATGAAAAAAAAATTTATTAAATAAGTGATAAAATAATTTATTAAATAAGCTAAATAAAGAACACGAATTCTCTTCACGCCGCCTTCTGGCCGTAGAGATCGCCCACAGAGCTTATGTGCGCAGCCCACGGCCACAGACACTAGGGTGTTGAAGGTGCCCACCTGAGCCTCGGTTGGTTCGTTGCCAACAGCTCCCTCGTCTCTGCGAGGCGGTCCCTGCGGAGGGGCGGGGGCAGAATTACTCTTTTGTGTGCTGCTCCAGAAGCTTGGGGACACCATTTCCAACAAGGAATCGTGTTTTGACGTTTCTGTGAAACTTACTTGCCCCACCCTTCATCTGGGCTCAGATCTTAGAGGCAGAGACAAAGCTGAGCTTAGAAAGTTAAAGGGACCCGCGGGGAGAGGTCGGTCTGCCTCCTGGGGACACTGAGCGGGGCCCGAGCGGGCGGCTGCTGACGCGGTGGTGTTGGCTGTCCCGCGCCCAGGCCCAGAGCGCCGTGGTCCTGGAGGGGCTGCAGCCCGACTGCGAGTACAGCGTGGAGCTGCAGGCCGTCGCCTACTGGGGGCAGACGCGCCTCAAGAGTGCCAAGGTGGCCCTGCGTTTCTCCTCCGCGCCCCCCGCCAGCAACAGTAAGTGTCCCCCAGCTTCGCCACACACGCCCCACCCGCCCGGCAGTCCCGCGTAAGCGTGTGCAGGACCCAGCCGACGTTCCTCAGTCTCGCAGCCAGTCCTGCTGGACAGCCTCGTAATCACAGGTGTGACTTCTGCCCGAGCACTGTTTTCCCATGAGCCAGCCGGAAATGGAGTAACTACCACTTTACGGTGTCAGCGAGGGAAATGGTATTTTACAGAAGAGTGAATGTCAGCATGTGAATGAAGTTTTTTTTTTAATGTTTTTATTGATTTTTTTAGACGGAGGAGGGAGAGAGAAACAGCAGTGATGAGAGAGTCATGGATCAGCTGCCTCCTGCGCACCCCCAACTGGGGATGGAGCCCGCAACCCGGGCCTGTGCCCTGACCGGGAACCGAACCTGTGACCTCCTGGCTCCTAGGCCGATGCTCCGCCACTGAGCCCCACCGGCCGGGCGTGAGTGCCTTTGGAATGATGGCGTCCCAGGTCTGCCGGCTGCGAGGTGCTTTAATAGTAGATATTTCTACTCGGAGAGGGGGAAAGTTTGCGCAGTTTAATGAAACGGTCCCTGGAAGGAGGAGACACAGTGTTTCCAGAACGTACCTTGCTTTTGGGACGGAAGAGGAGTGTGTCCAGGTTTGACCGATTCCAAGTGTTTTACTAACTGGAATGTTCTTCTTTCTCTGCAAAATAAAAACGGGCTGCAGAGAAAATACTCCGAGTCTCTCCATCTGTAAACTTAATCAAAATGTTGACGTCTGAAAAAACAGCTGAGTGGCTCCATTCTCTGAACGTGGAGGATTGTCAAGGAGGACCAGTTAGGCTCATACCTCCGCAGGACACCATAGACACGGTGTCATCCCGTTTTTGTTTACTGCCAAACACTACCGGTCGGTGCATTTTTGTTTCGATAAAGCAAAAATAGTTTAGTCTTGAGATATATAAAACTATACGCTTACATCTGTAATGAAAATAGAAGTTGCGGGGGATAGAAAAGAGGGAGACAAAATCCATATAGAGATGGGGCGTGGTGTCTACGCGTCAGTCACTGTCCGAGGGTGAATTCTCAACATCACAGATTTTTGATGGAATCAGATGCCTAAGGGGGCTTGGGAAAACCTTATATCCCTGATTAGTTGTTTTAAAGAAAGCTGTGGGTGTGCCCAGGTAGACGCTCTGACTCCACGGTGCTGCCGGGAGCTCAGCTCGTTTTCTGAGCCCCACCCAGCCTCCCCCCAGCCTCCCGGGCGCTGTGGGCCGGGCTGCCTCCCAGAGAGGACGGGCCTGTCATGGTCTGACTTACAGTAGAAATATGGACTTGGCCTTCCTCGAGATGTCTGGCACCCAGCTCCTACAGCGCTTGGAATTTCCTAAGTGATACAGGGATAAAGGTACCTTTGTTGTGTTGATGAGGGGACTTTTGGAAGCCCCTGAAGATGGGGGCTAGTGACCCCCAACCCCCCGGGCAGAGCTTTGGGTCTTCCATCTGGCTTCTCCTGTTTAAAAATTAGTCACTAAATAACCGTGAAATTAAATACGCCGGGATTTGACAGCAGGCTTCCTGGTTATTTTTGACCCGAGACTTAGACTGTTGTGCCTTGTTTGCAGAAGAACAGCTTGGGAAAACCAGGAAAGGCGTGATTCGAACACAGCCCCCTTTCCAGAGACGCCGACTCGGCCGCTTGCTGGAAATTGGCTCCCCCTTCTACCAAGACAACCAGCTGCAGGTCAAGGTGTACTGGAAAAAGACCGAAGGTACCCGGGGTCTCCTGCCTGAGCTCGTCAGTTTAAATCCCACAGGGATGTAAAAGGCCTCGTGAAAACTCACAGTATTGATGTTCAGGAAAGCAGGTCCTCAAGAAAACGCTGCCTTTCTGAAGGCCTTGTTTTTCCGGAGTCTCAGGGTTCCTCACACCCAGGGATCTACGTCACATTTTGAGATCAGTGGTAGTCAGCTGCTTAAATCTCTCACCTCGGGGACATTGGCCTCTCTCCTTGCCCTTCCCCCGAAGGCTGATGTGTCCACAGCACCCAAAAACGGTTCATTGTTTCACACTGCAGGCTTTGGTTTTAGTTTTTTAAAAACACACACACAACAAAACAAGACCCATAACACAAATAATTTTGAAAATAGAAGAAAAAAAGTCACCTGTCCCATGGAAACAACATCCTCGGGGGAATCCTTTCAGAGGCGCCTGTGCCTCTGTTTGTCACTCTGTGAGCGTGTGTGTAACACATTTTCACGTAACGCTGTATGAGCCTTCTGCACTGTCCTGCATTTTCATGCTGTGTTAAATCTCTGCCTGACGGAGATACCGTGATAGATTCTGTGTCCTTACCCACGGCACAAGCACATTAGGCGCCTTCAGATGCCCCTTCACGGTGAGCGCCGAGGAGACGTTAGAGCGAAGCCTTCCCGTCTGCTCCAATCCTTAGGGCAAACTCTGCTGCGCCTGCTCTGTCGACTCGGGATATTTGTTTGCATTCTTTTCATCCCTCCTGCGCATTTTATAAACATAAGCAAATTATTTTGGTTCAAGAGCCCAGTTGTAAAATCCCTCTCATCCTTCTAAAGTGCTGTTTTACTCAGGGGGTCAGCCGAGGTGCCGGGAGGAATATGGACCTTTGCCTCATTTCCTTCCAGAATTTTCCTCCAAGCTGCTGACACCGATTGTGTAGCTGACATAGCATTTCCAGTCCCAGTCACGGTTTATCCCTCTCATACGTCAAATTTCTATATTATTAAATTAAAAATTATATCTTAATATATTCCCATTACAAGGTTTAATAACAGGTTTATAATCCATATCGAATTATAAAATTTATTTGCTCTATGGTATTTACTGGTTTTAAATTAGAATTCTATCAGTACATTGTGTTAATATCAGTAAACTGTAGCATTAGTGTGGTACTGGAAATGTGAACATCGATGGGAGAGTGTGTGTGTGCACGTCTGTATACGTACGTGTGTGTACACACACACNAAATGTGAACATCGATGGGAGAGTGTGTGTGTGCACGTCTGTATACGTACGTGTGTACACACACACACGGCTCCCAGCGATCCTGGAGCGCAGCCATCGCCTTGTGGTGGAAACTCCGATCTGAGCACTGATTTACTGCAATAATTTACGTTGCTGTCAGTCGCCAACATTGGGGATTTCCCCTAGATCACAGGGCCTCTTCCTTGCACAGTGTATTACGAATAAGTCGTATCTAGAATTCTGTACTTTCCCCAAAAGCCCTTCTCCTTAAATTATACCCATCCCATCTCCCTCTTTATCTTAAATTTGAAAGTCAAATGAACACATGAAACACCGCCGGGCTCATGAGGGCAGGCGGCTGAGCTGGAGGAAGCCCTGGGGAGCCCAAAGCAGAGCCAGCTGGAGAGCATGGGCTCCCAGCTCCACCCACATTCGCCGTCCTCCCAGAAGCCTGTGGGCAGTCACTGTGTGACCCACGAGCAAAGCTCCCCGACATTATGAGACGTGCCCGTTCGTAATTATCACAGATGTAGGAGAGGAGACGCCTTTTACGGCGATGCCCAGTCCTGCTGTGACATGAATTCCTAGTTATCCGTAACCTCACCAGCCTCTCAGCTCACCTGGATCTTACTGTGCCCTTCGGCCACTATGAGTCTCCCCATTCCTATTTTTTTTGTTGTCAGTCCTAATCTGATATTTTTTCCATTGATTTTTAGAAAGAGTGAAAGGAGGTGTGGGGAGAGAGAGAAACGTCAATGTGAGAGAGACACATCCACNCGCCTTTTACGGCGATGCCCAGTCCTGCTGTGACATGAATTCCTAGTTATCCGTAGCCTCACCAGCCTCTCAGCTCACCTGGATCTTACTGTGCCCTTCGGCCACTATGAGTCTCCCCATTCCTATTTTTTTTGTTGTCAGTCCTAATCTGATATTTTTTCCATTGATTTTTAGAAAGAGTGAAAGGAGGTGCGGGGGGAGAGAGAGAGAAACATCAATGTGAGAGACACACATCCATTGGTTGCCTCCCACATGTGCCAGACTGGGGCCAGGGATCAAACCTGCAACCTAGGTACCTGCCTTTGACCAGGAATTGAACCCAGGACCCTTCAGTGCTCAGGCCAACACTAACCACTGAGCCACACCAGCTGGGCTCCCAACTTTAGTCTTAATAACGGAACAACAATCAGGACTTTGCGAGACCTGCATGCCTCCTTTGGTTCACATATGCGTTTGGGGACCACCTGTGAGTTTTATTTCCTTCCCCCCTGTTCTGTCACATATCAAAGACATGGGACTGTGTTGGATGTGACTCCAGACTGTTCTCTCTGTGCCCTCGTTCTGACCCTACAGATCCCAGCGTGAGTCGCTACCATGTGCAGTGGTCTCCAGAAGCCTGTACCCACAATGACACCTCCAGGCCAGAGGCATCATCAGGCACGACCCAGGTGAGTCCATGGTCCTACGGATCGATTCTGAATGGTCATTAGACTCTTTCCTCGTGTGTATAAAATTGGACTGGAAGATGTCACATTGTATGTCTCACGGATACATTGTTCTCACACATGTGCTATTGAGCAAATGCCTGGGTGAAGACTGAACAGGTGACAGTCCCTGTGTTCACTTCTCCTCTCGTGAAGTCAGTGTCACATGAGAGCTCACTGTGGTATCATACATGGCAAGTCCTGAGGCAGACAGGAGGGACCAGTACTTCAGGAGCCCAGACCACAGGGAAAGGCTTTGGGCTCTGTGTTTCATTGAACTGGACAAAAGCTATGAATTGCCCTCTGAATTTTGCCTTGGCAGCATGATCTAAAGGTATTAATTTCCCAGTGAGATGCTACACAATCCTATGATTTAGCGTCTCACTCTGCCACATCCCCAAGTGCCACCAAGTCACCCAGCAATAACAGACACTCCCTGTCCCATATACCACAGACCCATGTCTCGACTCTTAACTTTAAGAGGAATCATGAGTTAGTGAGTAGACTCAACAAACCACAGGACATGTTTAAGAAAGAGGACACTGCACCATGCATGGTATGTGACAGAGCAGGAGTCTGAAGTCCCCATGGCGAGGCCCCACACGTCTAATACACTGATTTATGGTCTTTAACTAGAACATTTGTCTGCTGAAGTATTTTTTAAATCCCGTCTGACACATAACTTGAAGATTGAGAGAGAGAGCACATTGCTTACTTTGCAAAAACACTCGATTTTTTTTTAAAAAAAAAGGATTTCCGAGAGAGGAAGGGAGAGGGAGAGAGAAACATCGAGAGAGTAATTGATCAGCTGCTTCCTGCACGCCCCCTACTGGGGATGGAGCCCACAACCCAGGCATGTGCCCTGACCAGGAATCGAACCGCAATCTCCTGGATCCTAGGTCGATGCTTAACCACTGAGCCTCGCCAGCCAGACACTCATTTGACTTTTTTTTTTTTTTTACTGGATTTGACCTGTGCTACCAGCATTGTTTTCATTTATCCTTGACCTCTTCCTAAAATGTGTGACCTTCACTAAAAGAAAGAAACNTGCTTAACCACTGAGCCTCGCCAGCCAGACACTCATTTGACTTTTTTTTTTTTTTTACTGGATTTGACCTGTGCTACCAGCATTGTTTTCATTTATCCTTGACCTCTTCCTAAAATGTGTGACCTTGGACGTTTTAAAAAAAGGAACTGGTTGGAGGAAAGCAGAGAAAGAAATAGAAGCAGGGGTCCCTAAGTCTTTTGGGGTTGGGGTGGGGGGATTTTGCTTGTTTACTTGCATGAGCCTTGGATTCCTGTGGCACCCGGCTGATTTTCAGGGGGTGGCCCCCCTAGGCTGAGCATCTGTAGCAGCTCAGAGGGTGCTCCTAACTCTTTGCTGGGCGTGTATACATACATATCTGGCAGAAATACGAATCACACATCTCCAACAAGTGCTTTGCTAAGGGCTTAGGACTTGTCTGTCTCCATCTTTAATGACGTGCAGAGCCGCTTAATTCCTTTCCTGCTGGGAATGCACATCCGCTCACTTACCTGTGGCGGCTCCTGCCACCTCCTGTCACGCCACCCGAAAGCAGGCTGGAGGCGTCTGCAAAGCACAGTCGTTAGTGGTGACTCGGGCTCCTCTGTGGCCCCACAAAGCCCAGACTCAGTCCTGGGGAACAGCCGTTCAGCCTCCCAGAGAGACAGCGGGCTGGCCCGGCGTCCCGGGCACCCTGCCGTGTTAACTGCTCGGGGTCTACGCACCGCCCGTCTGGGGAAAGGGCCAGGCCCTGCCCTGTGCGTCTCAGCCGTGGCTGCTCCTGCTGACTCATGCCCGGCGGTTTTATTTGAATTCTTGTGGCACCCTTGTCACCAACCCACGCCGCTGTGTGGCAGCGACCCCTGCCCTTCCCCAGAGGGCAGCCGGCCGAGGCCCCCACCTGCCTCTGACACGAAGCCCTGGTGACCGCCAACCTGCGCGGGCGAGCACAACGGGGACAGTTACACCCAGAGTGTCCTCTTTCCCGTTACAGCTGGTTACACTCCGAGCCGCCTCACGCTCAGCGATGGAGCCTGTTCCTCGTGTTTCCATTTCGTGGCGCTGTTATGGGGGGAAGCAGCACCCCGAAAAGGGGGAAATACCGTGTCAGAGACGAGCTTCATTTTTTTCATTTTGTCTTTGTTAATTCTCACCAGAGAATGTTTTTTCCATTGAATTTTTAAAGAAAGGGGGAGGGGGGGAGAGAGAAACCTCAATGTGAGGGACACACATCGATGGGTTGCCTCCCGCACGCACCCCGCTGGGGGCAGGAAGCGAACCTGAAACCCAGGGGTCTGCCCTTGACCCGGAATCGAATCCCCGACCCTCCGGTTCACGGGCCCATGCTCTGACCACTGAGCCACGGCGGCCCGGGCAAATATCTTAATTTTTTTTTTTAAACTTGTCTATAAGCCAAGCCTGTGTCTCAGGGGAGCCCGAGTGGGCGTTTTCCCACTTGAAATAAGCAGAGTTGTCTGGCGGCCTCAGGCCAGCGCCCATGCAGGCTGCGAGGTGCAAGCTGGCTGCTTTCTCGCGATTCCTAGGCTCTGAACTCCAGAGGACGTGGCCACGCCAGGGAGGGCTCAGCTGGCGCTCACTGAAACGTGGACAGGGTCTCACATACTCGTTACAGAAGCCACATGGCACCTCCCCACTATGTCAACACACCGTGGCGGGAGTGCCATCCCACCTCCGGCCAATGTTTTCATCCCCAGTGAGATTTACTGCCACTGTCTTCCTCTCTCTCCCCCTAGGAAAATTACATGATTCTTCAAGATCTATCTTTTTCCTGCAAATATAAGGTGACCGTGCAACCCACACGGCCCAAGGGCCGCCCGAAGGCCGAGACGGTTTTCTTCAGGACCCCGCCTTGCTCCGCCCTGCAGGGGAAAAGCCGCACGCACGTCAGCTGCCCCGGGGAAGCAGGTGCGTGTCACCCGAACGCCGTGAGGTCGGCCCGCTTGCAGACATCTCCAAACCACCCCTCACAGCCCCCTAAAAACAGGCGGCACCCCTCTGTCTGCATTGCAATGGGACAGGCCAACTTGGAGGTAACATATACACAGGGTGTGACCCCCCCCCAAATGTATCCGCATTTCGAATGATTATAACGTCAGTATTTGTGAACACACAGTTCATTTTCAACGTTTAAAAGCATCTCCAGAAACAATTTTTTTGGTCAACACCTGTTTTGAAAAGGACAACTGTTCTGGTCCAGGCCCTGCTGATAACGGGAAGCAACGGAATCGCAAACATCGGGAATCATTCCCTGTGGTATTTGTGCTCCTTCCGTGTGTTGACGGTTGCTGATTTTGTACCATAAACTTTATCTTTTATGTGTCCCCATAAAAAAAAAAGTCTAGGGGCACTTTGAGGTAAATATTCTCTGTTCAAAGCTTAGCCTGGCTTCACCCATTATTTCAAATCCGTTAAACCTGAAAAGGAGCGAAAATGAAGTGAGTTATCAGCTGTTAAAGTGTGCATATGTTTATTTGGGACACCCAGAGGATCAGTGGCACTTGGCACAAGGTTGCCGTGATGGGGGCCTGGTCCAGCACGGTCCCCGTCCGTCACGGAGCTGGTTGTCCGAGACCACACTTAAGACTCGGGTCACCCTGCTCCTGCCTAGCCCCCCGCCCCAAACGTCAAACAGGCGCCACCTCAGCTCATTTTCTGCACCTAACCCAGGTCCCACTCCCCACCGCCGCAGGTCCCGCTCTGTCCAAAGTGCTGGCCAAGCCCGAGAACCTGTCTGCCTCCTTCGCGGTCCAGGACGGCAACATCACCGGCCACTTTGCCTGGAAGATGGCCAAGGCCAACCTCTACCAGCCCATGACCGGCTTCCAGGTGACATGGGCGGAGGTGACCACGGAGAGCAGACAGAACAGCCTGCCCAACAGCATCATCTCGCAGTCCCAGATCCTGCCCGCAGTAGGTGTCCTTGCCCCCGTGTCACGTGGCCGGTACCCACTGCTCGCGTCTCATGACACCAGGGTCGGCATCGCCACGCTCCGCCCTGGCTCGCTCAGCCTCAGTCCCACCGTTTCCTCTATTTACTGTTGGTGGTTGAGCCTCACCCGAGGATGTTTTTTCCACCGATTTTTAGAGAATGGAAGGGAGGAAAGAAGGGGGGGAGAAAGAGAGGAAAGAAACTTCAATGTGAGAGAAACACATCCGTTGGTTGCCTCCCGCACTGTGCCCCAGCCAGGGCTGGGGGTTGAACCTGAGACCCAGGTTTGTGCCCTTGGCTGGAAATCAAACCCGAGCCCCTTCGGTGCATAGACTGACACTAACCACTGAGCAACACCGGCCAGGGCATGACTATTTTATTTTGCGAGAAAAGACACCTCAAGCATCACTGTAAGTAGAGGAAACGATCCTCTAGATAAATTCTGGTAACCAGAGGCAGCCCCTCAGCAGACCTTTCCCATCTCCACTGTGTCCAAGTCATTTCCCCGTTTTCCGCCACCTTTGTTCGCTCGTGTCCCTGTACCCCAAGTGCACAGGCCCAGTTAGAAGTGTTAATTGGGGAGAAAATCACTAAAAGAAACCTGTTGTTTCCCTCCCCCTGCCCCCCTCAGGCTCGGCTGCAGCCGTAAGGAGCTGGCCTGTCTTCCATGCCACCTAATTCCTTGGCTTGAAAAAACCCACCCATGCCTGGGCTTTTACCCTCTTTANTCGGCTGCAGCCGTAAGGAGCTGGCCTGTCTTCCATGCCACCTAATTCCTTGGCTTGAAAAAACCCACCCATGCTTGGGCTTTTACCCTCTTTAAAAATGCCCTCAGAGTAGCCGAGTGCTGCTTCAAAAAGAAAACACCACCCTAAATCCTGAAAGGAAAGGTTACATGGATTAGAAAGTAGTTATTTTCTAAATATATTAGGTTTACTGAGTTTTGAGAAGCATATGTTGGCAAAAAATTAAACACTTTGGGCCATGGGCACTGACAGACATTGTGTATTTTAAGGAAGAGAGTTGGCTTGCTCACGGAAATAGGGATTATCGAGAATTTGCATCGCAGGATGTGCCCGGGAAACCCGCAGACCGTGGGAAAGTCTTCGGTTGAGGAAGAAACCATGTGATCCCAAGGGTGGGCCCTGAGAACTGGCCCCGGCCCCTGTGAGCTCTGCCAGGGGTCTCAGGCTGCCAGGAACTGAGCTGGATGCGGGGACCATGCAGCAGAGGACTCTAGAAACCAGAACCATAGACTCCAAATCACCCTGCAGTGCCAGAGGCCACAGAATGTGGCACNGGGGGGGGGGAGCAGTGGCCACAGAATGTGGCACCTGGGAGGCAACGTCCACAGAAACGTGGCATCTGGGGGGAGCAGCAGCCACAGAACATGCGTCCACTGTGTCTTCCCTCCCAAAGGCCTTGACGAGCGTGTCGCTTTGTGTGCCCCCCTCAGGATCACTCCATCCTCGCCGTGCCCAGCCTGAGGCCGTCCACCCTGTACCGACTGGAGGTCCAGGTGCTGACCACAGGGGGCGAGGGGCCAGCCACCATCAGAACCTTCCGGACGCCCGACCTCCCGCCCCCAGCGCACAGTAAGAGCCCCACTGTGTCCCCCCCCAGAGAACAGTCCTGGTGCAAAACTAGAATGAATCGTGACCGACTCCTGTGAAACAGGGTGGTCCCTGTATCTGAGGCCCTTCCTCCCATCTGTGTCTACTCACTGGCTCTTGTTTTAGCATAAATTGTATGGTTGAAGTTTAATCAAAGCTTCCCCCTCCCTTCTTTCCTTGTCTCCTTCAAATCCTTCCTTTACCTTAAAAAAATGTTTTTATTGATTTTACAGGGAGGAAAAGGGAGAGAGAGAGACATGGATTTGTTGTTCCATGATCGGCGCGTCATTGGTCGGTTCTTGTCTGTGCTCAAACCCGCAACCTTGGCCTATGGGGACCATGCTCTAACCAGCTGAGCTACCCACCCAGGGCCAAGCATTTGTGAATTTTTAAACTTCTCAAGCGAGAAAGAGAATTTGCAGTTGCTTATATAACTGTGAGCTCTCTTGTGACTTACAGTTGTTTCCCAAACCAAGGAGGGAAAGGGGCCAACTGGCCAGGGGAGAGGCAGAGAGGGGGCGTGAACTCCGGTGTGTACACTCAGGCTCAGGGACGGAAGAAGGAAATGACCAAGGAGTGTCTCTGTCTCCCTCAGGACCCCACCTGAAACATCGCCACCCCCATCACTACAGCTCCTCTCCGGAAAGGTACTGAGCCGCTCTGGACTCGCCCTGGACTCGCGGGCGGAAGCGTGGGTGCTCCCACGGGACCCCTCCCGGGTAACCCCTCTCCATCCCCGCTGCCTCTGGAAACGGCGACAGACACGAGTGAAGGACACTGGCCACCCGTCTCCTGCGAGAGCAGAGGAAACGCAGACTCGGCTGGGAACTGCGGATCCCGTTCCACGTGTGGTTTTGCTGATTAATCTCCACCGAATTCTCACAGGACTGAGACGCGGGTGGGAGCTGCAAACTCGGATCAAACCCCTGCAGCCAGCACGCAGGTTCATGCACAAACCAAGCGTAACATTAATCAGTGGAACTTGAAATTAAATGACTGGTTTCATTTACAAAGCCGGCTAAGAGGATGCTGTTTTTAGGCCCTGTTTGTTCAAATCTTGCATAAGGTGATTTTTATTACATGCGACTTTTAACTGGAAATTTTAACCCGAAATAGACAAAATTGACACACAGCTAAAAATGCTCCCGCTTTATGTAATGTAAGCTTCATTTTATACAAAGACAAGTGAGGGTTCAGTCTGTAAATTATGATTTATAGAGACACCCAAAGCAGGAAGGGTTCAGTGAATTAAGCTGCCATCCAAGGTCACCATGGAGAAATTAAAATGCCTTTCTGGGCTGATTTTTACTATTTTACCCTATAATATGAGAGACTTTCCTGATATCTTATTTATATTTTCCCCTCACAAAACCCACGGCTGCTACAGTTTACCGCTTTNAAAGTCTCTCATATTTTCTCCTCACAAAACCCATGGCTGCTACAGTTTACCGCTTCGATGTGTCTAAAAATTTACAAAACCTCTTGTTTAAAATGAAAGCATCCCAACTATTGAATATTTTCACATCTTTAGTAAGATTGGCCTTTTCTTAATCAAAATAACCTATTTGTATGCTAGAATGTTCTCAGGAAGATAAAAGGGGGGCTTTGAGTTTCACTTTTGCAAATCTGTCGTATGTTACTGTTTGGAAAACTTCCCAGGCCCCAAACCGCCACCTTGTAGCATAAACTCAAGTCCAAACATGTTTCCGGTATATAGTGTTCCCGTGTCTGTGGGCAGCTTGAAACACGGGGATGCTTAGCTGAGTAGGTCTTTCCTAAGGGGATACCCACAAATGGGGTTGGAAACATTCATAGATGTGTCTGTGTAGTTGTGTGTGTGCATTATATAGGCTGTCCCCCAAAACTGTATACGCACTTTGAATAATTATAAAGGCAGTGTTTATTACATTTTGAAAATGAGCTGTAGGTCAATGGACTCTACAGACATTGTGTGTATACATTTTTGGGGACACCCTGTATATACAGACACACACACACATACACATATGGATAGAGACACGCATGTACCCCGAGAATGAATCGCCGACGACAGGGTTTTCATGGCTCTTAACGGCGGATACAGACACAGTCCTCATAAAAGCCCCACAGGTAGAGTGAACACGGACGGGGAAAATACAGGATCAGAAAAGAGCCATCAACAGTTGGGGGGAAAGGCTTCCTTGTCTCACGATCTACGCGTGTAAAGTGGGGACGTTTTTGGTGACGTTACTGTTGGGTGTGGCCAGTAGGACTTGGTCCCGGTTGCTCTGTGTCCCCTGAGCACGTGCAGAGGTGTGACCTCTCCTGGGCTGGGTGCCCAGCTCAGGGCCTTCGCTCCGGGCGGCGTCACTGCCGTTTCCCAGCAGAGGCGATGACGGGAGGGGGGAGACCGACCGTGTCTCCCCCATCCACGCCCGGCTCCAGGAAGCCCGCCCAGGAGCCCGGTGCCTGGTCTCAGATACTCAGGGCTGTTTCCTGCGCTTCCGACAGAGTTGGTGACACAGCCGCATTGGGACGCTCTATACAAGGGACACGACTGAAAATCTCAGAATGGGGGTCCGGGTGGTTCTGAATGGTTTCCTGTGGCCCCTGACCTGGGAGAGAACAGGAAACTGCCTTCATTTAACCCCCACCCCCGCCTCGATCAACACCTTAGAGCGCGTCTCTGGGACCTCACAGGTCATTCTAGGGTCCTCACCAGCATCAGAATTTCAAATTCCTAAAATTGAGACTTGTAATCGTCAGCTAGAGGTTTCTCTCACCTTAATTGGTCCTGAAGAAATCCCAGCGTTGGGCCAGCAAATGTCTGTACTGTCATGTAGTTTCAAAGGCGGGATATATCCACAGGCACAAAATGTTATTCTAGGTTTAACTGTATAAAATTTAATTATGTTTCTTTTGTCTGGGTAATGGGCATGGAGCAAGTATGTTTTTAGTTCTAACGCAGGTCTGAGCTTACAGCTTTCCTTAAAGTCTCTCACGCAGCTCTAACGAGCACCTAATTTCGCTATAATAGTCAGTGGTTTCAATTTCATTAATATTGGGAAAAAATTCTATTAATTAGGCAATAAAAGAAACACAAGCTTTTATGAATTTCAATAATATTCAAATGACAAAACACAATTACAACTTTTTGAATTATAAACATTTGAGTGCCCTAACAAAGGGATAAAAACCTGTTTTTTTTAAAAAAAACACCCATATATTTTTAGTAGCTAAATCTCTAATATGTTTCATTGAAATTAGATGTGTTTCTCATGTGACGAAAAATACAGGGCGGGGCAAACGTAGGTTTACAGTTGTTCATGTGGATGGTAATACAGGAACGAACAAAGAATAACCTAAGAACCGGCGGTTTCGGGTTCTCACAGCTGTAAACCCACGTTTGCCCGCCCGGTCACCGCAGCGGGGAGCCCTGCCCGCAGGCGGATCTCTGCTGACGGGACGAGAACTGGCCCCGACGCGGGCCCGGGAGGCAACAGCCCGGAGCTTCTCACGCGGGAGGGCAAAGCCCTGCCCTGCGTCTTGGACGCCGCTGAAAAGCCTGCACCGTGTGTCGGCGTCGTTGGCGAAAATGACTTGCAGCCTAATGCCCTTTGTCACGCCGGGTGCCGGGCTTCCCCCGCGACGGCAGGTGTCTCACGTTTCTCACACGCGCTTCACCTGGAAGCACAGCCCCACGCTAAGGATCTGCTGCACGGACATGACAGTCCCTCTAAAACGCAAGGACACAGAGACGGCGACTCTGCGCTTTCCTGTCCTCACTATGGCGGCGAGTTTCCCGGGGGCAGAGCGGTGACAGGCTTATGTGCAGTCGTTGTGTCTTTACCTGACGGTGTCGTCGTGTGCAGGTAACAGACTGACCCCGCCGGCCTGTGGGATTCACGTCCCTTCCCAGTGGCCCCGTGAAGCCCGTATTTATTTATGTGTGTAATTAAGTCCGATTTGTGTGCGCGTCTGTCACGTCAGAGACGTCATCTTGTAAAAAAAAGTTGTAAAAAACAAAAACGTATTGTAAATACCCGGTGTCCTGCGATGCGTTATTTCCACGTTAGAGTGTGTACAGACCGATTCCGCAATAAAGCATCCTGAAACCCGCCCGGCGGACTAGACCCATTTCTTTATTGCCTGAAATGAAAAATAGTTTTCATTTCAGAAGAAAAACGAACAGTTTCCTAGGCTGCCAGGGAGATTCCGGCGTAACTGTCGGCGTCAGGATGAGTGGAACGCGAGGTCTGGTCGCCGCGACGGGACAGCGCCCCACCCTCCGGGAGGCATTTCGGAGTTTGCCAACCCTCGCCCCGGACCGCTTTGATCACGTCTCAACTGTTCATCCTGGTCGTCTCAGTGTCGTTTTGTACCAACACTCTACAGCTTTAAGCTGATGTATCCGTGAAATGCTACATCTTTGCCCTGATGGCTGTAGGGACATTTTGTATCAATAGTTGGCAACTTCAAATTGCCCCCCCCCCCAGGATGTATCCATAAAATGCTACATCTAAGTAGCATTAACAAGCATTTCTCTGGGTCCCTGTGTTTTTCAAACACTATACACTCTGTTGCAATCTCCAGTATCCAAGACACGGACTGCGGTGCCCTCCGGAGTTTACTCAGATTTCACTGGGTTGACACCCGAACACTTGGCGCGTGTGCGTGTTTATCTCTGTGCAGTTCGATCGCGTGGGCCTGCCGTTGTTTAAGTGGAACATCTAAAAGACACACAGCTGCTTACGTTCATTTTTAGGAACGACTGCATATTTTTTCACATTTCCCGACAGCCGGACGCGTTCGTTTCTCGCTGATTTTAACTGTCAGGCTGTATAGAAACGATCCGCTCAGTATGCACTTGACAGTGTCCTGCGTTTCACTCGGGGAGCCGTTTTCCTGCGCCGGCTGCGCGCCCAGCGAGCCCGCCTCCCCAAGTCTGTCCTGTCCGCTGAAACTGAATTTACATGCCTGTGAAAGCTGTAGATTTGAAAGTCACTCCGCAAACGGAGAGAAATTCAAACGCAGTTTATGCTCTAGACATGGGTGGGAGGAAGGAAATAAAAAAAAGTAAATTCATCGCTGTTTAGAAAGTTAAACATTGCCCGGAGCAGGCACGCGGTCTGGTTTCAGATGCACGTGACGCTATGAGATTGACTGGAACCGTCGCCTGATTACCAGCCTGACCCCGGGTCAGAGGCCCGAGGACCACAGCCTGTCCATGCCCCCGGGAGCTTTTAGGAAGAGCCGTGATTTCAGGCTCCTTCAGATGCGAGTCTCGGAGGGTGGGCATCGGGCCGTTTTAAAGGGCCCCGGGGAATTCGAGTCTTNCTCGGAGGGTGGGCATCGGGCCGTTTTAAAAGGTCCCCGGGGAATTCGAGTCTCGCCCAGTGTCGCCAAGCCGCCCTCCAGACCGTGACGAGATATGGATGGTAAATCCATAAACATTCCTGCCTGCAGACCCGAGGCGGCAGAATGTCCCACGGAAGCGGCCGGTTTAATTGCACCGCAGTAAACAAGGGGTCCCTCCCCCGCCATGTGCGCGACTAAATGACAAAGATACAGGCCGGGTGTGAGCATCCTGCAAATGCACACGGGACAGGCACCCACAGCCAGGCGGACACACAGGGGTCTCCACCCAATGTTCTTTTTTTGTTTTTAATCACCCAAAAATATTTTTTCCATTGCTTTTCAGAGAGAGTGGAGAGGGAGAGAGAGAGAAAAAAAATTGATGTGAGAGACACACATCGACTGGTTGCCTCCTGCACACACCCCAACCGGGGCCCGGAATCTAACCTGCAACCGAGGCAGGTGCCCTTGGCCAGAATCGAACCCAGGACCCTTCATTCCGAGCGCAGATGCTCTAATCACCGAGCCAAACCGGCCAGGGTCACGCCACCTTCCTCTGGGGGGAATTAACTTACTGTGGGGATTATGGCGAGAACGCGGGGCTAGCCCAGCCCGTGTTAGACATTCGGGTTTGCTGTCAGAATGCGTTGCCTCTCTTCCCTGCCCTGGAGCAGC